TTTACAGTTTACCGTATTGCAGCGTACCGTATTTGCAGCTTACCGTATATGCTGCCTATTATATTTTCATATATTAATTTTTGCACTTATAAATACCGAAAATGCAGGACACCGTACATTCACTAACCAAATCGAATGTCAAAAAATTTTTCAGATTTTTATTTTTTTCAACATAAGCAAAAAATAAATATTAAAATATATGAAACACAAAATATAAACGCATATGAATATGTAAGTCGATTTATAACTTTGTACTCAATCTTCAATTTTCCAATATTGAATTATACAAAATTTAAAAATATAATCTTCACATTTAAACGAGAAAATAATGTATACAGGATACAAAAACTTTCGTCAAGCTCTAAATCTAATTTTATTGTAATCTCAAATATGTAACAATTCTCTACCAAGATTCTAATTTATTCACATAAATTCTCAATGTGAAAGATAATATGTATTTGTAGGTTAATTATTTTAGTCAATAGATAGTAGGGCATGGTAAAAAGGTTGTCCCCAAAAAAGTTTTAGTCCACCCAAAGTGGAAATATTATCTCTACTTGCGGAGAGATCAACTCTTTTCACACTGTGCGAAGAGATGACCCTTTTTTTATCGGTAATTTTTTCTTCTATTTTTCCTCTCATCTTTCTCTATTTTTCTTAGATGCATATTCCTCTCGAAAATGATTTTTTACCATGGATTCTTAATAAAATATCTAAGTTAGTTTTTTATCTTTTACCTCAAACCTTAAAAGATTGTTTATAATATGATTTCTATCTATTTTTCACTTGTATAAAATACAGATCATAATGAATGTGTTTACTATTTTCCTCATTTAATATTCTTTATTTAGTCAGCAATGCTTTTCATTTGTTAGGATGGCTTTAAAATGGGAAAGCCACTAGGAAAAAAATTTAGCAATTACATAACCATCATTCTGTTTTTTTTTTTAATTCCTGAAAAAATAATTATATAAAAAGAAGACAATATTGAATTAAAACATTTAGTTGTGAAGAATTAAGAAATTTAATATTATAAATTTTATATATTTATAACAAATTATAAATCCGTATATGCAGCTTGTCGTATTTTCAAGCAACTTACTGTATATATAACTTACTGTATTTGTAGTTTACCGTATATGCTGCATACCGTATTTGTAGGCAAATTACCGTATTTGCACCTTACCGTATTTGTAACTTATCGTATAAACTGCCTACCGTATTTGCATATGCCGATTTTTGCACTTATAAATATCGAGAATACAGAACATCGTACATTCACTTACCAAAACGAATGTAAAAAAAAAAATTCAGATTTTTATTTTTTTAACATAAGCAGAAAATAAATATTAAAATATATGAAGCACAAAGTATAAATACATATGAATATGCAAGTCGATTTATAACTTTGTGTTTAATCTTCAATATTTTAATATTGAATTACATAAAATTTAGAAATATAATCTTCACACTCAACTCAATCATATCAACACTGTCAAAGCATACAGGCAAAATAGTTTGTATAACCTCGTATATTTCTTATTCAAGCATGAAATATACAATCATGTTTTTTTCTAGATGACACAATAATGTTTTACAATTGTAAAATAATTTGCAATTATTTTCTTATATCATGAAAATATTTTTAGATATTGTTTCAAAAACATTCCAAAAAACTAAAATTCATAACTAATAAAAATACGATAAATATAAAATTCGTACAAAGCACGACTAGTGTGTGTATATATATATATATAGCCCTCAAAAAGGTTTTAATGACACTTTAATATTTATTTATTCCGGTCCGTGCAATTCCATTTTTTTCCTCTACAACTCATTTTCAAGTAGTTAGAGGAGAGGCAAAACTCCTATTCCCTTTACAGGTCGATTCTCAGCCTGCTCAAAAGCTACAAAGCATCGTAGAAAAACCTTTGTTTTGTGTTTCCTTTTCAGCTATTAAAATGTTACTTCTCTAAATTAAATATGTATTCGTAGGATCCACAAATAATACTCATTAATCCATCACATATTTCTAAGAATTTATAATTTTAGTAACTAAAGCAAAAACAAAGGCTATGAGGATATCCTTAACTAAGATTCTAGTGAATTTGAATAGATTTTTACATATTGCATTAAAATCTCTTAAAAATTGTGGGACAA